TTCTGGTGGTCCAGTGGTTAAGAATCCGCCTGCCAATGCAGGGAACACGGTTAGATCCCTGGTCTGGGAATATCCCACATGCCACGGAACAGTTAAGCCCATGCCTCAACTACTAAGCCTGTGCTCTAGAGCCCACGTGCCACAATTACTGAAGCCTGTGCACCCCAGAGCCTCCCCAACAAGAGAAGCCACGACAATGGCAAGCCCGCGCACCACAGCTAGAGAGGAGCCACGGTCACTGCAACTAGAAAAAGCCACACACAGCAACAAAGACCCAGCATAGCCAAATAAAGACAAATAAACAAATAAAGAAATCATTTTTTAAAAGCATCAGCATTCCTCTCCCACTGAGGGTCCTCTAAGGGAATCTGACCTGGTCTTCCCACCTCTTGACACCTCAAGGAATTAATTCAGCCAAACCAGGGATGAGTTGGGGTCTTCCTTTTTTTTCTCCTAAATTCAACTTTTTTCCATTCTCCTTTTCTACCTTGAAGTCCTTCTTACTAAGTCTGAAAGGTAAGAAGTAAGATTAATGCTCGTCACATTGAAAGGGAGCATTTAAATATTTATCTTTGTTTATAGAGGAAAATGAAAGTAAAAGCTATGCTTCCACTGTGAATGTCCAGTCCAGCAGACTACTTGGCATGTAGTAAGCACTCAAAAATTTTGCATGCTTGAATGAATACAGTGAATGAATACAGGAGCAAATGAATGAGATAAAATTGGAATAGAAAAAAATTGATACTCTCCTAGCAAACAAGATTTGTATGGTGACATCTGAAAATAACATTGAGAATAGTTTGCATATATTATTTTTCTCTGTCTGGAATATCCCCCCTCCAACCTGCCCGGAGAAGGACCTGTCCTTCAGGGACCGCTTCAAATACTAAGGATTTTCTTCTTCTTTTTTTTTAAATTTATTTATTTTAATTGGAGGCTAATTACTTTACAATATTGTAGTGGTTTTGCCATACATTGATATGAATCAGGCATGGGTGTACATGTGTTCCCCATCCTGAACCCTCCTCCCACCTCCCTCCCTATCCCACCCCTCAGGGTCATCCCAGTGCACCAGCCCTGAGCTCCCTGTCTCATGCATTGAACCTGGACTGGCGATCTATTTCACATATGAGAATATACATGTTTTAACGCTCTTCTCTCAAATCATCCCACCCTTGCCTTCTCCCACAGAGTCCAAAAGTTTGTTCTTTACATCTGTGTCTCTTTTGCTGCCTCACATGTAGGATCATTGTTACCATCTTTCTAAATTCTATATATATGCGTTAGTATACTGTATTGGTAGAATACTGAGGATTTTCTTTTTACTCTCTTTCCATTAGATATAATTTCTACCCCTCCTTGACATCTCATGGCAGTTTACTCTTTCCTGGAATAACTCTCTTTCACCTCAAGTCTAGTTATTTGTGTGGAAGAAGAATTGCATAGAAGCTGAGCAGCCTGACTCTGGTCTGATGCTAGGCTACCTGAGTTTTAATCACAGTTTGGCACTCATTGACTGTGTGACCTTTAGCAAGTTACTTAACCTCTCTGTTTCATTTGTCTCATCTGAAAAATAGGAATAATACTAGTACCTATTTTATGAGGTTATGGTGAGAATTTAATGAGCTAAATATATGATGAATTAATACTATATCATCCTTAAGGCAGGTTAGCACTACGTGTTAGCTATTATCGTGTCCCCGTGGGCTGGGAAGGCAAGAGCAGCGTCTTCCTTGGTTTAGTGCCTCGTTCATTTCTGACCACAGGGCTATGGACAGAGGTTAAGTTCACAAAAATTCCTTGACCATCTTCATTGTATTGAGGCATTCAGCAAACACATGGCCTTGTCAGAGGCCTGGAACCTGAGTCATTTTAGTCGATGACCTCCTGGCCCCTCTTCCAAAAGGTGAGCTCACCTTCTCTCAGGGGGAGCAGCAGACAGCTCCTCACCAGCCAAGATGTCACCCTGGGGCAGATATGCTCCCACCCCCTTCCTGCACACCCCAGCAGTGACCCCCATGCTCACCCCACTGTCCGCACACTCACCTCCTCCTGCACCAAATGCTCTCCTGTTCCCCAATGTGCCAGAAGTTTCTTTTCACCCTGAATATGCCCTTCCCTCTGCCTCTATCCTCCTTTCCTACCCATTCGGTGTTTGTGAAAGCAGAGGTACTTGTGAAACAGTGTTGAAAACACAACCTGCTGTGCCGATTCACCTTTAGCTTCCTTTTCCAGGTTGATGTATCTTGTTGTTTAGTCACTCAGTCATGTCCGACTCTTTGCAATCCTATGGACTGTAGCCCACCAGGCTCCTCTGTCCATGGGCTTCCCCAGGCAAGAATAATGGAATTTCCTTCTCCAAGAAGAAAGGCTTCCCTGACTTGGAATCGAACCCAGGCCACGGCGGTTCTCCAACCCAAGAGCACTGAATCATACCCACTAGAACACCAGGGAGAATCAATGTATTTTATAAGTGATTCCATATTAGTAAAGGTAGTGCTATTTTGTTCTTTTCAATCGTCACATAGCACTCCATTGTATAAATGCGCCAGTATTTTAGTTAATCCCCTACTGGGGGATGGAAAATAGTTTCCAGTCATTTTTTCTTTTAAAATAGAAAGACCTTTGCACGAGTAGCACCTAAAGGCCTGGCACTTCACTGTGAACAGGTTTATCAGGTGTTTCTAAGGCAACAGGTACACCATGAGCAGGTGCCCAGATGGGAAGAGTCCTGGGTGTATGGGGTGTACTGTCCAGGCCTCTCCTTCCTCAGGAGACCTAATGTCAAAGAAGGAGGAGATCGTTTTATCCTCGGTGGAGACAACTTTACTGGGACCTGGTGGTCACTAGAACTGGACATCCAGGCCAAAGCTCCTGGAAAGTTTAAAATGAGCTTAAAATACAGAGGGGGAAATATGGAAAGCATTCCTCTTGAAAGTGAAACTGGGCTTTTATTAGAGCAATCAGGTTGGATCTGAGAACTCTAAGAAGAAATGTAACCCAACTGTGACCTTTCTGCCCTTACAGACTGTGGCCCTGGAGACTGAGCCTGCCTGGAGGCCCTGTCTGACGGTGCTGGATTCTTCCAGATGCAACCAACAGTAGAGCCTGGCTGGAAGAAATTACTCCGGGCTGTGCCTTTAACAGGGTGTGCAGCCCTTGTGCTGCAGTCTCCACTGCAGTGAGCTCTGGGTGCAGGGCCGGGGGATGCTGGGCGGATGCTGTCCCAGTGCAGAGGCTGAGCCCCAGCCCGGAGGTGACACCCTTTACAGCCAGCAATACCAGGGCCACCCGTAAACTGCTCAGCCTTAGCTATGCCCTGAGCTCCTGCTGTCTGCAAATTAAGATGTGGGTGAGGCATGGCACAAATTCTGCTTTCCTTAAACAAGTCTCCAGACTTGAAACAATTCATTATGGGTGAAGTCTTAATGTGAAACAAGCAATTTCTAAAGCTTAGATCAGAGCCACTTTCAGATATACATGGCATTGTGCTTTGACAGAATTTTCAGGCTTAAGACCTGAATGCAAATGGGTTGCCTTATTGATTTTTTTCACACTTTGGAAAGATTTTCTTCTCCACCATTGCTATTCTCTAAGGGTTTGTTTAACCTTTTTTATAGCAAAAATTTTGCTTGTTTAAAGAATGTGAAGATTATATCAAGACTATAAGAACAATAAGTATTTACTGGATAGCACAGGGAACTATATCCATTATCTTGTAATAAACTATAATGGGATCAGAATAAAAAAGAATACAGAGAAATACATATATATATATATATATATAACCAAATCACTTTTCTGTACATCTGAAAGTAACACTACAGTATAATACTTCAATCATACGTCAATTAAAAGGAAGAACTTGATGTTAAAAGATTTTTTAAGATTGTAAAACACACAAACCTTCTAGAAACAGGTTGTTTTTCATAGCATGACTACCATGTTAGCTGTAGTTCTAGTACAATTTGTGAGCATTTAGAGAACTGGCCTGGATCTTCACTTCGATCAGTTTTCCTAGGTTGCTTATATTAACATTTCCCCCGTTTCTTTTCAAGAGCCTGCTGTTACATAAGATTTCTACAACACACACACAAAAATAAAGATATATAGAACACAAAAAATAAAGATATGTAGACCATGGCACCAATTAAGTGCCTTTCCTCCCCTCTTTAAACCTCCCATACCTCCCAGCTCTAACAAAGATGACAAGCCCAATTGAGCAATATAAAATAGAACATCTCAATGATAGTTCCATGTAGGCTGCTATATATGACTTTACTGCGTGTTACATGCTGAGAGATACGCTCAGAAAAGGAAACAAAGATATTAATATGCTTCTGTTCCAGCTGGCTCCTAAGTTAGCTTATGAAGCAGTCACCACAGAAGAGCTGAATGCTCCAGCCCACTTCAGGAGGCTCTCACATACTTTCCCCTTCAAGTAACTCCTTTATGATGGAAGCAAAACCTGGGGGGATAGGGAAAAGACGAGGGTCCCACAAACTTTTACTTTTTAAAATTCATTTATTTTTTATTGAAGGATAATTGCCCTACAAAATTTTACTGTTTTCTGTCAAACCTCCACATGAATCAGCCATAGGGATACATATATCCCTTCCTTTTTGAAACTCCCTCCCATCCCCTCCCCATCCCACCCCTCTAGGTTGATACAGAGCCCCTGTTTGAGTTTCCTGAGACATAACAGCAAATTCCCGTTGGTTACCTATTTTACACATGGTGATGTAAGTGTCCATGTTACTCTTTCCATACATCTCATCCTCTCCTCCCCTCTCCCCATGTCCATAAGTCTATTCTCTATGTCTGTTTCTCCACTGTTGCCCTTAAATGAATTATTCAGTACCATTTTTCTATATTCTGTATATATATATATTAAAATACGCTATTTATCTTTCTCTTTCTGACTCACTTCACTCTCTATAATAGATTCTAGGTTCATCCACCTCATTAGAACTGACTCAAATGCATTCCTTTTTATGGCTCAGTAATGTTCCATTGTGTATATGTACCACAACTTCTTTATCCACTCATCTGTCGATGGACATCTGGGTTGCTTCCATGTTCTAGCTATTGTAAATAATGCTACAGTGAATAATGGGATACATGTGTCTCTTTCAATTTTGGTTTCCTCAGAGTATATGCCTAGGAGTGGGATTGCTGAGTCATATGGTGGTTTTATTCATAGTTTTTTAAGGAATCTCCATACTGTCTTCCATAGTGGCTGTATCAATTTACATTCCCACCAACAGTGCAAGAGTGTTCCCTTTTCTCCACACCCTCTTTAGCATTTACTGTTTGTAGACTTTTTGATGATGGCCATTCTGACCGATATGAGGTGATATCTCATTGTAGTTTTGATTTGCATTTCTCTAATAATGAGCGATGTTGAGCATCTTTTCATGTGTTTGTTAGCCATCTGCATGTCTTCTCTGGAGAAATGTCTGTTTAAGTCTTTTCCCCACTTTTTGATTGGGTTGTTTGTTTTTCTGGTAATGAGAAAATTAATCCTTTGTCAGATGTTTCATTTGCTATTATTTTCTCTCATTCCAAGGGTTGTCTTTTCACCTTGCTTATAGCTTCCTTTTCTGTCCAAAAGCTTTTAAGTTTAATCAGGTTCTACTTGCTTACTTTTGTTTTTATTTTTGTTACTCTAGGAGGTGGGTCATAGAGGATCTTGCTTTGATTTATGTTATTGAGTGTTCTACCTATATTTTCCTCTAAGAGTTTTATAGTTTCTGGTCTTACATTTAGGTCTTTAATCCATTTTGAGTTTATCTTTGTGTATGGTGTTAGGAAGTGTTCTAATTTCATTCTTTTACATGTAGCTGTCCAGTTTTCCCAGCACCATTTATTGAAGAGTCTATCTTTTCCCCATTGTATATTCTTGCCTTTGTCAAAAATAAGGTACCAATAGGTGCATGGGTTTATTTCTGGGCTTTCTATCTTGTTCCATTGGTCTATATTTCTGTTTTTGTGCCAGTACCATACTCTCTTGATGACTGTAGCTTGTAGTATAATCTGAAGTCAGGAAGGTTGATTCCTCCAGCTCCTTTCTTCTTTCTCAAGACTGCTTTGGCTCTTTGGGGTCTTTTGTGTTTCCATATGAATTGTGAAATTTTTTGTTTTAGTTCTGTGAAAAATGCCATTGGCAATTTGATAGGGATTGCTTTAAATCTGTAGATTGCATTTGGTAGTATAGTCATTTTCACAATATTGATTCTTCCTACCCAGGAACACAGAATATCTCTCCATCTGTTTATGTCATCTTTGATTTCTTTCATTAGTGTCTTATAATTTTATGTGTACAGTTCTTTTGCATCCTTAGGTAAGTTTATTCCTAGATATTTAATTATTTTGGTTGCAATGGTGAATGGGATTGATTCCTTAATTTCTCTTTCTGATTTTTCATTGTATATGGAAATGCAAGTGATTTCTGTGTACTGATTTTGTATTCTGAATCTTTGCTAAATTCACTGTTTAGCTATGGTAATTTTCTGATACTATCTTTAGGGTTTTCTATGTACAGTATCATATCATCTGCAAACAGTGAGAGCTTTACTTCTTTTCCAATCTGGATTCCTTTTATTTCTTTTTCTTCTCTGATTGCTGTAGCATAATTCCAAAATTATGTTGAATAATAGTGGTGAAAGTGAACACCGTTGTCTTGTTCCTGATCTTAGACGGAATGCTTTCAGTTTTTCACCATTGAGAATAATATTTGCTATAGGCTTATCATATATGGCCTTTACTATGTTGAGGTAGGGTCCTTCTATGCCCATTTTTTGAAGAGTTTTAATCATAAATGAGTGCTGAATTTTGTCAAAGGCTTTTCCTGCATCTATTGAGATTATCATATGGTTTTTAATCTTTCGATGTGTTAACATGGTGTGTCATATTGATTGATTTCCATATATTGAAGAATCCTTGCATCCCTGGAATCAACCCAACTTTATCATAGTGTATGAGCTTTTTAATGTGTTGCTGAATTCTGTTTGCTAAATTTTGTTGACGATTTTTGCATCTATGTCCACCACTGATATTGGCCTGTGGTTTTCTTTTTTTGTGTTGTCTTTGTCTGGTTTTGGTATCAGGGTAATGGTGGTCTCATAGAATGAATTTGGAAGTGTTCTTTCCTCTGCAATTTTTTGAAAGAGTTTTAGAAGGACAGGTATTAGCTCTTTTCTAAATGTTTGATATAATTCTCCTGTGAAGTCATCTGGTCCTGGGCTTTTGTTTTTTTTTTTTTTTTTTTTTTTTTTCCCAGCTTTAATTTTAATGACTTATATTTGGTTGGTCAAAATTTCTATTTCCTTCTGGTTTAAGCTTGGGAGATTGAACTTTTCTAAATCTGTCCATTTCTTCTAGGTTATCTATTTTATTGCCATATAGTTGTTCATAATAGTCTCTTATAACCCTTTGTATTTTTTTTTTGATCACAGCTTCAATTTCAGTGCTTGAAATTGGGTTGTTCATAATTTCTATTTCTTTCTGGTTCAGTCTTGGAAGATTGAACTTTTCTAAATCTGTCCATTTCTTCTAGGTTATCTATTTTATTGCCATATAGTTGTTCATAATAGTCTCTTATAACCCTTTGTATTTCTGCATTGTCTGTTGTAACCTCTCCTTTTTCATTTCTAATTTTGTTGATTTGATTCTTCTCTCTTTTTTTCTTGATGAGTCTGGCTAAAGGTTTGTCAATTTTGTTTATCTTCTCAAAGATCTAGCTTTTAGTTTTATTAATCTTTACTATTGTTTCTTGCATTTCCTGAGGTAGGATAGTATTGCTATAAACTTCCTTTTTAGGATTGCTCTTGCTGCATCTCATAGGTTTTGAGTTGTCATGTTTTCATTGTCATTTGTTTCTAGAAATTTTTTTTATTTTCCTTTTGATTTTTTCAGTAACCTGTTGGTTATTTAGAAATGTGTTGTTTCATCTCCATGTATTTTTATTTATTACACTTTTTTTCTTGTAACTGATATCTAGTCTCATAGCGTTGTGGTCAGAGAAGATGCTTGATACAATTTCAATTTTCTTTAATTTACTGAGGTTTGATTTGTGACCCAAGACATGGTCTATCCTGGAGAATGTTCCATGTGCACTTGAGAAGAAGATGTATTCTTCTGCATTTGGATGAAATGTCCTGAAGATATCAGTGAGATCCATCTCATTGATCATTTAAGACTGGTGTTTCCTTATTAATTTTCTGTTTTGATGATCTGTCCATTGCTGTGAGTGGGGTGTTAAAGTCTCCTATTATTATTATGCTACTGTCAATTTCTCCTTTTATGCCTGTTAGTGTTTGTCTTATATATTGAAGTGCTCCTATTTGGGTGCATAGATATTTATAATTGTTATGTCTTCCTCTTGGATTGATCCCTTGATCATTATGTAGTGTCCTTCCTTACCTCTTGTAACCTTCTTTATTTTAAGGTCTATTTTGTCTGATATGAGGATTGCTACTCCAGCTTTCTTTTGCTTCCTGTTTGCATGGAATATATTTTTCCATCATCTCATTTTCAGTCTATATGTGTCTTGAGGTCTGAAGTGGGTTTCTTGTAGACAGCATATATATGGGTCTTGTTTTTGTATCCATTCATCCAGTCTGTGTCTTTTGCTTGGAGTGTTTAATCCATTTACATTTAAAGTAATTATTGATATATATGTTCCTATTGCCATTTTCTTAATTGTTTGGGGTTGATTTTGTAGATCTTTTTTCTTCTCTTGTATTTCTTGACTATATAAGTCCCTTTAACATTTGTTGTGAAGCTCATTTGGAGGTACTGAATTCTCTAAACTTTTTCTTGTCTAAAAACTTTGTATTTCTCCTTCAGTTTTGATTGAAATCCTTGCTGGGTACAGTAATCTTGGTTTTAGATTTTTCCCTTTCAGTACTTTAAATATATCTTGCCATTCCCTTCTGGCCTGCTAAGTTTCTGTTGAAAGATCAGCTGTTAATTGTATGGGGTTTCCCTTGTAGGGTACTTGTTGCTTCTCCCCTGCTGCTTTTAATATTCTTTCTTTGTGTTTAGTCTTTGTTAGTTTGATTAGTATGTGTCTTGATGTGTTTCTCCTTGGGTTTATCCTGTATGGACTCTTTGTGCCTCTTGAATTTGATTGACTATTTCCTTTTCCATGTTGGGGAAATTTTCAACCATAATCTCTTCAAAAGTTTTCTCATACCCTTTCTTTTTCTGTTCTTCTTCTGAGACCCCTATAATTTGAATGTTGGTGCATTTGGTATTATCCCAGAGGTCTATGAGGCTATCCTCAGCTCTTTTTTCTTTTTACTTTATTCTGCTCTTCCGAAGTTATTTCCACCATTTTATCTTCCAGCTCACTGATTCGGTCTTCGGTTTCAGATATTCTGCTATTGATTATTTCTAAAGTATTTTTAATTTCAGTAATTGTGTTTTTTTGTCTCTGTATGTTTGTTCTTAATTATTCTAGGTCTTTGTTAATTGACTCTTACATTTTCTACATTTTGTTTTCAAGGTTTTTGATCACCTTTACTATCATTATTCTGATTCTTTTTCAGGTAGTTTGCCTATTTCTGCTTCATTTATTTGGACTTCTGTGTTTCTGGTTTGTTCCTTCATTTGTACAGTATCTCTCTGCCTTTCATTATTTTTTTTTTTTAACTTTTTGTGTTTGAGGTCTCTTTTCCCCAGGCTTCAAGGAAAATTGAATTCTTTCCTTGAAAAGGTTTGAATTCTTTCTTCCTTTTGGTTTCTGCCCTCCTAAGGTTGGTCCAGTGGTTTGTGTGAGCTTTGTATAGGGTGAGGTTTGTGCTGAGTTTTTGTTTGTTCATTTGCTTGTTTGTTTTTCCTCTGACGGGCAAGGCTGAGTGAGGTGGTGATCCTGCCTGCTGATGATTGGGTTTGTATCTTTGTTTTGTCTGTTGTTTAGATGAGGTGTCCTACATAGGGTGCTACTGGTGGTTGGGTGATGCTGGGTCTTGTATTGAAGTGGTTTCCTTTGTGTGAGTTCCACTATTTGGTCCTCCCTAGGGTTAATTCTCTAGTTGTCTAGGGTCTTGGAGTCCATGTTCCCACTCCAAAGGCTCAGGGCTTGATCTCTGGTCAGGAACGAAGATTCCACAAGTGGATTGTTATGGCATTAAGTGAGATTAAAACAAATATCCAAAAATGAGAAACCAAAGATGAACTCCAGACAAATGGCAGTTACAAAATTAGGCAAATAATAATTAAAATAATGGAATATATACATATACATATATACCCATGAGCAAAGTGAAAACAACCCAAGAAAAATAAAGTACATTATATTGACTCTGTGAACAAAGGAAATCAAAAATTATATTTACCAGTGAAGAACAAAGCTAACTTAAGCACAGACTGGAAAATGAAATTAAAACAAGGTGCCAAGTGGGGAATAAAGCAATGAAAATAAAACTAACAAATATGTTGAGAGGAAAGGAAAGAATGAAAGAAAGAAAGAATAGACATGCAAAGTTAAATAGTGGTAGATGAAGATTTATATACATTTAAGATTAACTGCAAGGGGAAAAGAACAGTAGGAAAGGTAAACAAAGGAATAAATGTAGAAAAAATATAATAGGTTTAAAAAATTAAAATTATAAAAAAGAGAAAAGGAAGAAGAAAGAAAAAAGGGGGGGAAAAAAAAAGAATACTTCACATAACTGCAAAAGCCCAACATAGAGGCAGAGGTTTATAACAACAATATGAAATGTGACTAAATATACACATATACACCCATAAGCAAAATCAAAACAATTCAACAAAAATAAAGTACAACAGATTGACCTGGCAAACCAAGGAAACCAAAAATTATATCTACCAGGACAAAACTAATTAAAGCACATGCTGGAAAACAAAACTAAAGCAGGGTGCCAATTGGGGAATAAAGCAATGAAAATAAAACTAACAAATATGTTGAGAGGAAAGGAGAGAAAGGAAAGAAAGAACAGATGTGCAAAGTTAAATAGAGGTAGATAAAGAAGATTTACATACATTAAGATTAACTGCAAGGGGAAAAGAAAAGTAGGAAAAGCAAACAAAGGAATAAATGTAGAAAAAATAATAATAGGCTTAAAAAATTAAAATTAAAAAAAAGAAAAGAAAAAAAAGAGGAAAACTCCATAGAACTAGAGAAGCCCAACATAGAGGCAGAGGTTTATAACAACAATATAAAATGTGACTGAGAAAAAAAAAAGTCGAAAGCTTAATTGGATTTCTTAGTACCAATAAAATCGACAACTACGTCGAAAAAAATGGAAAAAGAAAAAAAATCCAAAAGAATCTACAAAACATGCCAAAAAATAAGAATAATAAATGTTTTTCTTGAGTCACTGCTGTCAGGGTCCTTTCCTTCGCTGGGAGTCACAGTCCACCTCACCTCCCTGGGACGCCCTCCAACACTGTGCTGGTCTCTGAACCTGTTGTGGGGCAGCTCAGGTTCTAATTTTGTCCTACTCCTGTGTGTTCTTGCCTCCAATGTCCACAGCTATCATCTAGTGTGTTTTCTTTCGTGGGAGCGCTCAATGACCTTTTATATATTCCATAGGCACAGAGTCTGCTTAGTTGATCATGTGGATTTAATCTGCAGCTTGTACAGCAGGTGGGAAGGTTTTGGGTCTTCCTTAGTCACACTGCCCCTGGGTTTCAATTGTGGTTTTATTTCCACCTCTGCATGTGGGTCGTCCAGTGGGGTTTGCTCCTGAAGCTGCCCTGGAGGACTTGGGTCTGCCCCTATGAGGGCCAGGTGTGGAGGTGGTGCAGCTGCTGGGTCACAGGGGTTCTGGCAGCACCAGGTACTCAGGGGAGTTGGCAGCTAGGATGGCAGGAAATATAGTTCTCTAGAAGGGTATGGCAACCAATATTGGCCAATACGCTCCAGTGTTCTTGCCTGGAGAACCCCCCTCTCTGACAGAGAAGCCTGGCAGGCCAGTCTACCGGGTTGCAAAGAGTTGAACACGAAGCAACCCTGTGCACATAGTCACAAGACTTTTTTTTTGCCTGTGGCAGCTCTGCCCCAGTGAGAGTTGAGCATGAAGGTGGTGCAGCTGCTTGGCTTGCGGGGACTCTGGCCGTGTCAAGTGTTCAGGGACACAGACTGCCTCTGCCCAGGAGTTGTGGCCCTATCAGAGTCTTTTTTCAAGCCTCTTATAGCTGGCGATCAGAAGGCCTCTTCGGCCAGTCTTTCTCCATAGCTCTGCCCGTTCAGGCACTTAGAGGGCTCCCTTGCCTGGGATCCTCCTCTGTTGTTGGGTGTGTCAGGCACATAGAGGGGCCCTACTCTGTAGATCGGCACATCAGGCTCTTAAAGGGGCCGCCCGGGTGGGGTCCTACTCTAGTTCAGTGCGTCAGGCGTCTGATGGGCCAGCCTCTATATTGCTCAGCTGCTGATGCTGGCCAAGTTTTCATGGTTCTATATAAAGAGTTGGACATGACTGAGCGACTGAACTGAACTGAACTGATACATCCTTTTCCACCAGTCAGGTGCTGCTGTGTGCTCTTGGCTGGTGTGAGCATGCACTTCTGTGTCTGAAGGTGTATTCCTGATGTATCCGTGGAGAGAGATGTACTCCACGTCCACCTACTCCTCCGCCATCTTGTTCTCCTCCACAGACTTTTACTTTACCTGGAGCCTTTGTCTTTGGAGGATTTGGTCTACAAGTAGAATAAGAGGCGAAAGAGTGAATGAGCTTAGTATGTTTGCACATGTGTATAATACTTATGGGGCTTCCCAGGTGGTTCAGTGTTAAAGAATCTGCCTGCCAATGCAGAAGACTTAAGAGATGCGAGTTCAGTCCTTGGGTTGGGAAGATCACCTGGAGGAGAAAATGGCACCCCACTCAAGTATTCTTGCCTGGGAAATCCCATGGATAGAGGAATCTAAGGAGCTACAGTCCATGGGGTTGCAACAGGGAAACACGTCTAAGTGTATGAGCACATGATACTCATATGAATGCTATCAATGCCTCTTTTTCAACCTAGATTTACTATGTGAAGGATCCTGCCCCCTTATGGTAAAATCATACCACGGCAAAACCCAAATCAGGGGGCTTGCTATTGTTATGTAACCTGACGGACTTCTCTCTTGGATCAAAACTATTCAAAGAATATTGATGTCCTCCTGAGATCACATACAGAAGTGGTATAAGAATACAGTATGTTTCAGCATGTTTTTCCAAGTCTCTTGAGGAAAGAGGATTGATTCCTACGTAATTTGTAATAAAAAAAAAATAGAGTTCTCGACTCATCAGGAAAAACTAGATTTGGGTTTTTTCTTTGCTGTTAACCATAGGTTAAGAAGTTTAATCACTTTCAGTTTATAAACTTAATGGAGAAATTGAACAAATCAGGACAATGTCTGTTGTTCATAATTGGGTTGAATGGAAAATATAGGTGGATTCGTGTTGGCTGCTGTATATTGGTCACTACCAATTACATCTTGAGGGGAGGCAAAGATACTGAGATATGGGTGGACACAATGTTAAATAGATACACAAGTTGAACAGCTTACCAAAGGCCTGGTTTATTTTAACTTGGAGATAGTTTAGATCACTATATATGTGATTATCTACAACTTCACAGAATCAAATAATGATTATAATAACATATAAAACTATATTCACACTAGATATAATTAAATCATAACAGTAAAAGCAACAGATACCAAAAATCAACATTCTTGAACTTATTGTCTATTGGCTTTGGAGGTAAGATTTTTTGTTTTATAGCATCTTCTGAATCAAGAATATGATCTATTGCATTAATTTTCTTTTCCATCTCTCCCAAATTATCATGGATTTATGATGACTTTAGACTGGTAGGTAGGAAAGGAACTAACAGCTGAGTGCCTTCTAGATACTGGACACTGGTGGGAGTTTTCAGGTACATCTTTTCTTTTTGCATACAAAACCCTGATAAGAGAGGGACTGCTGTCCTTGTTTTTACCGAGAGGAAATGGAGACTCAGCAGTTCAGTGATTTAACCAGTTAACCAGCTAATGATTGAAAGAGCTGGGATCTGAGCTAAAGACTAGGAGGATGGGTAAAGATGTAATCCTGGGAATTTTAGCTGTTGTACAATGTTGACTAAACATGCAGTACTCATTCAATAAGAAAAGTTTCAAAGCAACTGGCACATTAAAACTCAAAAAATGCAACTCACCTCTCCCAGGTACATATATGTGAATAAGAATTCCCCCTGCTGGCCAGAGGTACTTAGTTAAGCTAGGAGAAGGAAGTGGTTACCACAGTGGTCTCTCTCTGAATGTGGCTAGAGTTGATCCCCAGCTCTGACTTTGGGATGCTGAACTCTTTAGGTGTGAGTTAGAAAGGGACTTGGACTTCAGCCATGAAGACACTGTGAAACCCAAGACTGTCACAGCAGGTGGGGACACTGACTATTGTGAGACATCTCAGGGGTTAAGTGTGCTTACGGTCAGCAGCCCATGTTCCACCTCTCTCCCCAGCCTTCAGATACCCTAGTCTTAAACACCTCTTAGTATCCTGGTCAAAATAGACACCTCTGACCACGGCAAGGAATACAACACAGAGCTAAAGATGCAAAACAACCTGGGAAAGGAGGCATAAAGGCGGTGCCCCCAGCATTCACCACAGCTGCTCTCTGGGAAGATCAGAGGGATTTCTGCCTACAGTCTCTTAAATTTCACTTTAAAATGCAGCTCAGATAAATGACAATTGATACCTTTTTGTCACTGGACAAGATGACCGTTGCAGGGCATGAACCGGGTCATCTGATGGTTGTGATGGAAAAGGAAATGTGTTCTCCTGCTGACAGGAGGAAGGCTGCTACCAATTCTACAGTGATTAGAGACAGCTAGAGCTTTCTTTTTTCCCCCTGATCATGGAGGAGGAGATGCAGGCAGAAGTGAGAGGCCAGCCTTCAAATTTAGGAATCCTTGGCCCTTGCCAGAGTCATTTTGCCATTCTTTTCTTTCCTGTTTCCTCCCTGTGGAGGGGAGAGAGTGGTCCCCATCTCAGCTGATACCTCTGAGCAACTATTCCATCTGGCTCAGCCAGGGAGGGAGCACAGCTCAAGCTGCAGCCGCAGTCGCAGTGCATCCTTCACAGCGGCTTTGCACTCACAGCTGAAAGGGGCTAAGACCGGATCAGCTGCATTCAGGGTCAGGAGGAGGAAGAGGGGGTCCGTGTTCCCCCTTAAATATTACTGTTTCTGGAAGGAAGCTCTGCTGTGTTCAGGTTTCAACCTAGTAAACCTAGTAAACTAGTAAACTGACTTCAATACCTTTAGGTTCTAGGTTAAAAAGGAGGGGAGGTTGGGACAGGAAGGAGTTCCTCCAAAAGACCAACTGTTCTGAACCTATCCTAGAATGGATGCTTTTTAAAAATATTTATTTGGCTGCATCATTTTCCAGCTACAGCACATAGGCTCTCTAGTGTGTGGGCTCAGTCACTCCATGGGATGTGGGGTCCCAGTTCCCTGACCAGGGATTAAATCTGAGTCCCCTGCACTACAAGCTGTCTCCCAACCACTGGACCACCATGGAAGTCATAAGAATGGATGCTTAAGTCATGACCCATTCAAACATTTTTTTTCTCTCTTTTTTGGGGGGCATGGGTGGGAGCAGTCTGGAGGCAGTCTGAAGAAGCCTATGAACCCCATCTCATAATAATGCTATGAATCCCATAAAAATAATAGGAGACCAATTATATTGAGAGTCAGTTCTAAGATTCTCTGGTTTAGAATACAGTTGTGGTCTAACTGGTTCAGAAATAAATTCTGTCTCTCTGGTAAGATTTTAAGTCATTTTAGGTCACCCTACCCTTTTTATTTTTTCTAAACCTCCCCTTTCTGAGTCCTTCCACAAGTCTCCCCAAGTGTGTAGTATAGCACTTAGCACAGTTTGGGAGTTTGTTTATTTAATTTAAATAAGTTTGTTTAATTTGTTACTTTTCCCATATAATTTTTTTTAAGTTGATATGTTGTGTTTTCATTTTTAATCAGTTCAAGAAATTTTTTCTTTTTTTGCCTCATGGCATGTGAGACCTTAATTCCCTGAGCAGGGATCAAACCTGTGCCCCCGGCAGTGGAAACATGGAGTCTCAACCACTAGACCACCAGGGAAGTCCCCTGGGGTTTGTTAAAGGTATGTTTCTCTTTCATGGATTATAAACTCATAGATAAAAACTGTAGCTTAAAATATATAAATTCCTTATTACTCACAACTCATCCTCTGCAGATGGGGAAAATAAGATTCCACTCCCAATTACATCACCAAATATGAATAAATACATCAACATGCTTTTGTCATTGAGAAATCTACGCTAAGGAATGAGGTTACTCCTGGTTACCTGTTAAGATTTTCAGCGCATCCTTTCTGAGTAGCTCACTGCATTTGTCCTGAGCTCTTCTGTTGAATGACCTGAGGTTACGCGGTGCTCAAACTCGAAAGGTCACACACTGAAACGGTGGGAGGCTCATTGGTGGGTCCACTGATTACCATGCACCCTGGCAGATGTCACAGTAAGAGGTTCATTGACAAGCTCATAGATACTAATTGATCTTTTGTTTTTTGTTTGTTTTCCCCATATTAAGTTTTTTAATTGAGGTGAAATTCACATAACAAAATTCGTCATTTAAAGTCTGTGATTCAGGGGACTTGCCTGGTGCTCCAGTAGGACCTTGCCTTCTAATGCAGGAAGTGCAGGTTCAATCCCTAGTTGAGGAACTAAGGTCCCACATGCCTCCTGGTCAAAAAACTAAAACCTAAAACAGAAGCAATATTGTAACAAATTCAATAAAGACGTTAAAAAAAAAGTCCACATCAGAAAAAAAAAATCTTAAAAAAAAGAAAGTCCACAATTCAGTAGCATTTAATACTTTCACAATGCAACCCCCACATGCCTCCTGGTCAAAAAACTAAAACCTAAAACAGAAGCAATATTGTAACAAATTCAATAAAGATGTTAAAAAAAAAGTCCACATCAGAAAAAAAAATCTTAAAAAAAAGAAAGTCCACAATTCACTAGCATTTAATACTTTCACAATGCAACCACCACCTCTTGCTAGTTTAAAAACATTTTTATCACTCCAGAGAAAAGCTCCGATTAAACAATCAATCCAAATTCTCTCCTTTACCCGGCCCCTGTGGCAACCACCAGTCTGCTTCCTGTCTCTATGGATTTGCCTATTCTGGATATTTCATATAAAAAGAATATAAGTCTTTTGTGTCTGACTTCTTTTACTTCGCGTAAAGCTTTCCTAGTTCATTTAGGTTATAGCATGTATCAGTACTTCATTCCTTTTTATGGCTGAATAATATTCCATCCTGTTGTTGTTTTTAGTCACTAAGTCATGTCAAACTCTTGGAAACCCTAAGGACTATAGCTCACCACACTCCTATGTCCATAGAATTTCCAGTCAAGAATACTAGAGTGGGTAGCCATTCCCTTCTCCAGGGGATCTTTCTGACCCTGAGATTGAATCTGCGTCTGCTGCATTCCAGGCAGATTCTTTATTGCTGAACAACAGGAAAGCCCATACTATTGTGTGGACACAAAGTATTCGGTTTATCCATTCACCCACTGATGACATTTGCGTTATTTCCACCTACTGGTTATTGTGCATAGTGCTGCTATGAACCTTAATGTCTATGGAGGGACTAGCCAGCCCTCACA